GCATTTCTGCCTGCTTCTGCCTCGGAATCACCCACCTGTCCAGTCACTGGCCTGCCTCCTCCCAGGGCATCACCCTCTTGCTTGGGCTCCCCTGGCGACCACCTCTCGCTGGCAGACCCTGAGCTCTTGAGGGCAAGAACTACACCTTCCTGTATACAGCACCCGGGGATTTAGCAGGCTCCCTGCTCTGCCCTTAAGCTGAAAAGACCCTGAGATCTCACCCCTCTGCCCCTGTCCGACCACACCCAGTGCTGAATGGACCAGGAGCAGCAGGGCTGGCCTCCTCGGTCCTCCCAGGGCAGCCACAGCACCTCTCTCCTCACCCATGACAACAGCGGTGTCAGCCGCACCACTGGGAAGGGTAACTAGGAGCAGCAGTCCCAGGACGGCCTGCGTACTATAAATGTACTTCCCCATCGTCCTCGCAGTGCCTGTCCTCCACAAGCCAGCAGCAGGCTAAAAGCGAGTGCTTCCAGGACTAAAAAGGCCTGCAGCCTAAGCAGCAAGTGAAGCAATCATTAAATTGATCTTTTTCATCGTCTTCGCCCAATAATGTTAACCAAGGATGCAACCAAGCAAATGGAATGACTAAGACCAAAGCAAGCAGCCAAGCACAGCGCTGTTTTCAGGCCCGACCCTGGGAGTGCCTCTGACCCCACTGCCAATCCCTGACCTGCACTCGATCACTCCCACGTGACTGACGTCCGGGACCCGGGGGCTGATTGGCACAGAGTTCTTGCCTGCTAACTAGAACTCAGTGATGACCACTCACTGAGTGCGTGTCCTCTGCGACTCAGTGCAAAGCCAAGCACCGGCTGCCCAGCTCGCTTCTGACAGCTCAAGCTGCAAGCCACGCAGTTACTTCTGAAGGAGAGCCACTCCCAGCATTGGATTCGAGTAAAGAGTACATATACTATTCTTTCTCAGAAAATCCTACGTTCGTTTCAGTCCAATGGGAGTGAACAGTTTCCCACCCAGACCCAGCAGGTCTAGTCTCGTCTCCTCTATCTGAATATCAAGTCCGATAAGCAGTCAAAATAGCAATGAGTTCCAAATTTAGGAAGCGAGGAGAAGAGGAAAATGAGAGTGTTTCCGATCAACTAAACAAGACTGCGGGCCCCACGGTGGCAGGGGGCACGGCTGCCACGGACACTCACAGCAGCGAGTCCAGTCGGGCTCACTTGTGCTTGGCCATCCCCCCTCGCTCCCATCTGCTCCAGGAACCAGGTGTGAACCCGCTGTGGGCTGTGTGCTCTGAGCACTCAGCCCAATCAGCAGCGGCTGACAACAGATGCTGGTCCCCTGGGCTCTCCCTCACCTGAGGCGCAGATAAGGGCAGGCATTTCCTGCGGGCAAATTCAAACCAGCTCTGTGCGCGGGATCTGGGGACCATTTGATCACCATAAATTCAGGATGAGGAACAATGGCAGACACCCTGTCAAATACCAGCATCCTCTGAAACTAGATCACAGAGGAATTTCCATTTAAAAATGGCTTACTGACACAGATGTTTGCTCCCCTCTCTTCCAGACACCCTTCTTGGAGAGGACTTTTTAAAAGGCATATGTATACCCCAAAGAACAAAACCAAGGGAGAAAAGACAACGGTAAAAAACCTGGAAGCTATCAAACAATGGGGGAATGAAAACTGACTTAGGCCAGAAAAAGATGAATCAAAGGCTTACAATGAGGAACACTGAGAAATAACCCACTTTTCATCACGGACCCCCTTCCCCACCAAAGACAAGACCGTGGCACCCACATACATTTGCAAGTGAGGGTGCAGGACAGAACCAAATACTGCGGAAAATCTGGTTAAGAAGCAGTTAGGCAAAATCACGTGATCCTCTCGACTGGCAAGAATGCACTTGTGGAAACCTGACAAGAGGCATTTACTAAACCCACAGCTGACCTCACACTCCGCGGGAAGACCAAAAGGCTTTCCCCTGAGACCATCAGGAACAAGACAAGGAGGCCTGCTGTCACCACTGCTTCTCAGCCCTCCTGGGATTCTAGCCAGAGCAATTAGGCAAGGAGAGAACATAAGAGGCGACCAGAGGAAGAAGCAAGCTCCCTTGGCTCATCGATGCCATCATCTCATACATAGGAAATCCTAAGGTACTCACAAAAAACTATTACAACTAATAAACTGTAAAAATTACAGGCTATAAGGTCAACAACACAAAAATTAGTTGCACTTCCATAAACAAACTGAAAATAAAATTAAGAAAACAAGTCCTAGCCAAAACTGGTTTGGCTCAGTGGATAGAGCGTCAGCCTGCAGGCTGAAAGGTCCCAGGTTCGATTCTGGTCAAGGGCATGTACATTGGTTGCGGGCAAATCTCCAGTAGGAGGTGTGCAGGAGGCAGCTGGTCGATGATTCTCTCTCATCGATGTTTCTAACTATCTATCCCTCTCCCTTCCTCTCTGTGAAAAATCAATAAAATATATTTTAAAAAAAAAGAAGAGAAAAACGATTTAAAAAAAAGAAAACAATTCCTCTTATAACAGCATCAGAAACAAATAACAAACTTAGGAATAAATTTAACCAAGGAAGTGCAAGACTGGTGCCCTGAACACTAAAACACTGTGTAAGCCCTAGCCAATTTGGCTCAGTGGACAGAGCGTCAGCCTGTGGATTGAAGGGTCCCGGGTTCGATTCCAGTTAAGGGAACATGCCTGGGTTTCGGGCTTGATACCCAGTGATGTTTCTCTCTCTCCCTCTCCATTCCTCTCTGAAATAAATATATATATATATATATATATATATTAAAAAACAACACAACACTGTGAAAGGAAGAAGACATCAAGCAGTGGGAAGACAGCCCCTGCATGGTCGTCAGCCTGGTGATGCTTCCCGGTGCTATATGGAGCCAGTGCAACTACCAAAATTCCCATGGCATTTCCTGCAGATAAGGCAAAGCTAATTCTTAAGTTCTTATGGAACTGATGGATCCACATACTACAAACAACCTTGAAAAAGAGTTGGAAGGCTCACACTCCGAACTTACTAAAACCAATGTTATTGGCATGAGGACAGACATATAAACCAACAGACTGAGATCCAGAAATAAACCCATACATTTATGGCCAACTGATTTCCTACAAGCAGGCCAAGACCACTCAAAATAGCCTCTTCAACAGTGAAGCTGGGACAACTGGATGTCCCCACGCAGAAGGATGGAGTCGGAGCGTGCCTCACTCCACAGAGTTCACTCAAAACGGGTCCACGACCTAATCGCAAGAGCTAAACTACTGAAAAGCTCAAATAAAAACCCAGGGCAAATTTGTATGAGCTTTGATTTCACCATGGCTACTATTATCACACCAAAAGCAGGAGCAATAAGAGAAAACACAGATAGATTGGACATCCTCAAAATCAAAGCGTTAGTGCGTCCAAGAACACTATTGAGAGTGAGGAGGCAACCAAAGAACGGAAGACAGCGTGTGGAAAAGGGTCCGGCGTCCTGAGCCCGCACAGAACACTTCGACTCCCCAAAAAGACGGCGGCCCTTTAAAACGGGCACAATCTGCACGGACAGCTCAGCAGCCACACACAGGAAGCACAGAGGCACTCACCATGAGTCAACAGGGAAACACAACCACACCCACAGGAGATCCCTCACAACCCGCCCTGGGACACCATGACTGAGAACAACATTAAACAGCCCGCTGGTGTGGCTCAGTGGTTGGGCCTGGACCATGGACCCACGAGCTAGGTGGTCACCTTTCCATTTCCGGTCAGGGCAGTAGGGGAGGGTGTGCAGGAGGCAGCCGGTCAATGGTTCTCTCTCATCATTGACATTTCTCTCTCTCCCTCTCCCTTTCTCTCTCTGAAGCCAATAAAAATATGTTTTAAAACAAAAACAGAATCAAAGTGTATTTTTAAAAAACCCATACAGCAACAAACACGTGCTGCTGAGGATGTGAGGACACTGGGAGCCCTGCACGGTTGGTGGGGTGCCAGGCCGGCAGCCGCTGTGGAGAACAGGGCGGGGTTCCCCTGAAGTCAGTTGCCCCGGACCCTCAGTGCAGCCCCACTCCCAGGAAGGCACCAGGGACTGCACACAGGTGCCCACACGGGGATGCACATGGGCCACAGTGGAGCTGGTCTCCGGAAAGGTGGAAACAATCTGACTGCCCACTAACCAAGACCAGCCAGCTGCGGGTGGTCACACAGCAGTGCCACTCGGCCACAGAGAAACGGGGTGCGGGTGCAGGGACCCAGCCGTGGATGGAGGGTGTGGGGTGCAGGGTCCCGGCTGTGGAGCGGGGGTGCAGGTGCAGGGATCCGGCTGTGGACCGGGGGGGGGGGGGGGGGGGGTGCAGGGACCGGCTGTGGACAGGGGGGGCGGGGTGCAGGTGCAGGGACCCGGCTGTGGACGGGGCGAGGGGTGTGGGTGCGGGAGCGGAGCGGAGCGGGAGCAGGAGCGGCCGCCGTTTGGGGAGGGCACAGCCCGGCACCCGCTTCCACGGCCCGGGCGGCGGGCGGGTCAGGCCCGCACACGCGTCGCAGGGCCGGGACCGATGCCCGAGGGAACGCGCCGCTGAGGGTTCAAGGTTCGGGGGAACCACCAAGGCGGCGGGCGAGGGGACAGGCCGACCTCAGGCTGACCTCCGGCGGGCGGCGGCCTGAGGGCGAGGCAGCGGGGAGCGCCCGCCGTCCGCCCGTCCGGCCGCCCGCCCGGCCGCCCGCGGGAATCGGCCCGGCGCCCCGGGGCGCGGCGCGGAGGGAGGGAGGGTGTGAGGGCGGGGGCCGGCGGACGGACCGGAGGACCAGGGACCGGCCGGAGGGGGCGGGCCGGAGGCGGGGCCGGGCCGAGGGCCGCAGGCCGCGAACGAACGCCTCCGGCGCTGCGGCGGGGGCGGCGGCCGTTGGCGCAGGCGGGCCCGCCGTCTGGGCGTCTCCGCAGCCCCCGCCGCCGTGAGGGGCGCCCACCCCGCCCCGCCCCGCCCGCCGCCCCCCGAGCCCGCCCGGCCCCCGCCCCGCCCGGGCCTCACCTGCCTCGCGCCGCCGCCACCGCCGCCGCCTGAGGCCTAGTCTCCGCCACCCCGGCCTGGCCGGGAGCAGACCGTTCCGGCGCCAGCCAATCACGCGCCGCGTCCGGGACTGGAGGCGGGATCAATAAGGACGTTCGCCAATCCCAACCTCGCTACCGGAAGCTCTTAGCCAATGAGGATGCGTCCTGTCTAGAGCACGGCCAATCACGAGCAGAGGCTGAGTCGCGGGGCGGGGCCACGCGCGAGGTCGGAGGGAGGGAACGAGCTGGGGCGGGGCGGGGCGGTGTCTCGGGAGGAGCCGGTGTCCCGGGGGCATCGCCCGCCCCGCGGCCCTGAAGGCCGCCCTCGCCGCCCTCGCCGGGCCGTGGCTGCGCTGCGAGGGGGACCGGAGGCCGTGCTCTCTCGTCCTCGCTTTGCAAAGGAGGGAGCGGCTCCGGCGGCCCGGGAGCTCCCAGCGGAGGGCCGCCCGCGCGCGGACGGGGGAGGGCGTGGCCCCGCGGGACAGCCGCGCGGTCCGGTGATGGGGGCGCGGCTTCAGCTGCGTCCGCACGGGGTTCACCGCCGCCCTTGCACCCGGGGCTCCCGGGGACGCACAGCCGTCCCCGGGGCGTGTTTCCAGGCGCCGATCCCCGCGGGGCGGGGGTTGGACCGGCGGGAGGTGGGGCGCCGAGGGCGGCGGCTGCACGTTGCAGGGAGGGGCTTGGGTTGAGCAGAATGAAGGTCCGGATTAATTAATTAATCACCTGGCCACCTGCCCCTGGTGAGGGTTTATGGAACACACGCGCGGTTTATAAGACTAATGGTAAAACGTCTCAACATTTTAAGATGTTATTTGTGCCCTGACCGGTGTGCCTCAGTGGATAGAGCATCGGCCTGCGGACTAAAGGGTCCCAGATTCGATTTTGGTCAAGGGCATGGACCTTGGTTGCGGGCACATCCGCGGTAGGGGGTGTGCAGGAGGCAGCTGATGGATGTTTCTCTCTCATCGATGTTTCTAACTCTATCCCTCTCCCTTCCTCTCTGTAAAAAAAAAAAAAATCCATAAATTAAAAAAAAGATGTTCTGTTAATTTGTAATATTTTGGATATATTATCTAATTAAAACACATCAAATTGACCTCATCTCTTTTTTATTTTTGTTGTTTTCAGAGAAGAGGGCGAGGGAGAGGGAGAAATATCACTGATGAGAATCATCTGTGGGCTGCCTCCTGCACGCCCCCTCCTGGGCATGGAGCCTGCAACCCAGGCCTGTGCCCTGACCAGGAAGAGAGGGGAGACCTCCTGGTTCAGAGTCCACACTGTTCCGCGGAGCCACTCTGGCTGGGCATCGTTTGTTCTTTTTTTACCGGGGCTGCTGGGAAATGTAACGGTGCCTGTGCGGCTGGAATGCCATTTCTAGTGAACGGAGGCATTAGTGGAGACTTCTGGGTAAGGATTCTGCCCTAGCGGTGGGTCATAGAATCAATCTGCTTCCTGCCAATATTACAAAATGGCCAAAGACAGCTTTTTAACAAAGTTCAGCCCTGGCTGATGTGGCTCAGTGAATTGGGCATTATCCTATGGACCACGAGGTCCTGGGTTCAAGTCCTAGTCAGGGCACACACCCAGGTAGCTAGATCCCCAGTAGAGGGTGTGCAGTAAGTAGCCAATTGATATTTCTCTCACATCAATGTTTCTCTCTTCCTCCCCTCCCTTCCTCTCTCTCTAAAATCAATTTTTTTAAAAAGTTCACCAGCAACAATGAACAAGGAAGATGTGAACTCACATGGTGTAAGAGGGGGAGGAGACGAGATGCTGGTGAGGATCAGTGGGACCTGGTAGGTGCTAGATCATAAAAGGGAGTCCACAAAACCCAGAGGGTCCTTAGATGTTACCCACCCACCGGGGCTGCTGGGCAGGCAGCAGGTGGCTGGACCACCGTGCCTGGATTCCCCCTCATGGGGCTGCGTCCACCCTCACTGCCTTCCACCTGGTTTGTGTTGGCTTCATCGGGTCCGACTGGTTGGTCTGATACCCACTGGACTGAGCTGGCTGGAGCTGGTCTGTACCAGGGAGTTGGTTTAAATGAGCCCACCTGGCACCTCAGTGGCTCTGGCGGGAGGGCCTGGTCCAGCTCGTCGGGAGGGGGAGGAGGGAGAATTCTTCAGGTGACCCATCGGTGGGGATGGTCATACAGGGAACCTTACTGGAACCTGAGTCCTTGCAGGCTGACTGTGGGCAGAGGGAGGCACCTCCAGCAGCAAGGCCAGCCCTTGAAGGCTGCTGACGGAATCATGGGGACCAGGGCCCGAGCCACCTTCAGGAAGGGATGAGCCATTCACAGAGAACCGTGCGTGCTGTACGAGTCCACATGTGTGCACACACGCACACGCACCCACACGCACCCCGACATCAGGCACAGAAGCATCCTGCGGGGGCTCGCTCCAAGCAGGAGTGTCACAGGCTGGTTACACTGTGTTTTGCTCAACAAACTCAATAAACTGTTTTTGAGGTGAATGAAAACCTGAAGGAAAAGGAACCGTGTGATGTGTGAATGAGATCGTCAAGGAGGGAGGAGGAGTTTTTAAACAAAACGGAAAAGGCACAAACCTTATGGCTGAACATTGACGGCTCTGATTACATCACAATGAAAGATATCTGTTCAATAAAAGATGCTGTGAGCCCGCCAGCAGCCAGGTGACAGAGCAGACGGTTAAAAACAGGCAAGAGGCTACCACTCAGAATATACAAGAAGCTCCTGCATATCAAGAAGAAAACTGGGCCAAGGAGGTGAACAGGCAATCCACAGGAAAAGGGACCGGAACCCACAGTTCCCCATTCGCCATTGGGCGGTTGGAGCCTGCCGTCCAGGGGAGAGGGACGGAGAGGCTGGCTGCAGGCTGGGGGCAGCTCCTTTGTTGAGCGTCTTCCTCCTGGTGGTCAGTGTGCATCATAGCGACCAGTCGTCCCATCGTTCGATCGATTTGCATATTACCCTTTTATTAATATAGAACGCTTGATCTCTATTAAGGATTGTTTTATACTTAAAACTTTTCTTATGAACACGACTAAATGAATATTATGTGTAAAAACAATGCAGCATTTACAAACAGCAGATTTAAGGTAGAGAAGCAACACGTGCAAGCTTTCTCAACAAGGAGCCCCTTTTACACTTTACCCCGTGGGCGTGGAATAAAACACTGGGTGTAAAGAATGAAGATGGCACGTCGGGGTACTTTCCCCAAAGGGTGAATGGGAGGAGTGGGTGGAGGCAGCCAGCTGCAGCTGTGTGACCTTGACCAAAGTCTGAGCCTCTCTGAGCCCATCCCCCTCTCCGCAGGGATAAGGACCTCTGCCAGGGCCTGTGAGAGCTGAGGCGTGTGCCTGCCTGGCCTCTGGGAGCGCCGGTGAACAGCGCCCTTTGTTACGAACGAGGACAGGGGAAACCTGCCTCACTGTGCCAAGGCTCAGGGCAGCGGCAGGGGGGCAGTTTTCGAAGGAAGACACAGACCCGGTGTCTGGGGCCGGGCAGGGGCCCAGGCCCCGAGTGGGCGGGCTGATCGGGGGCAGGTGGGCTGGGCTGGTTCAGAGTCCGTAAAGCTCAGGTGTAAACCCGCAGGCCCAGCTCCTGGGTGTGGTGGGGCCTGGCTCTCAGCTACCTGGACCCCAACCGCGCTGCGCGCCACCCCCCCCCCCCCCCCCCCCCATTCCCACAGACAGGACGGTGAGCAGGCGCTTGCCAGAGCTGGTGCCCAGCCGCTCACAGGCTCCAGTCGGTTCCGGGTGCTGAGGATTTCTTCCCTCCCCACCCCGTGCCACCTCAGGTCTGCTTTGGGGAGAGCTTGGCGGCGGCCGTGCCAGCTCTGCACAAGAGCCCACTGTCCGGGGTTCTCTCTCGAGGAGACGGACCCGGGCCCCGTGTTCATCTGCCTGTGGGTGCACAGCTGACCAGACGTGGTGACATGCTGCACCTTCTGTCCTCTCACTGCCACTGAGCAGCGGAGCCGGTGGGACCGCTGTTTCACCACGAGGGAAACTGAGGCAAGAGCCACGCCCGCAGCCTGCCTGGAGGGGAGCCAGGGGCAGAGACATGCAGGCCAGCTCACCGGCTCACGCCATGAGCAGACCAGGGAGCACCGTGTTCTGGGGGAGCTCAGGACCCGGGGGAGGGAGAGACAGGCAGGCTGGAAACCCGAGCCGGCTGTGCCTGGAGGCCAGGTGTCCGGAGACCAGAGGAGGGCAGCCTGCCAGCCCGGAGGCAGGCAGGCAGGCAGAGCAGCACCTCACAGGCTCAGGAGCCTGCCCAACCTCTGCCCATCCTGAGCCTCCGTCCTGCTGGGCAAGGGGCGGAGTGCCCACAAAGAAGTGCCGGCTTCCTGCCCGGGTGGTGCCCCATGGCCAGAGTGAGGCTCTGGGAGCTGGTGACCCCGGGAGAGGGAGGCAGGCCCACGACAGAGAGCCGAACGTCCCGCGCTGGCCAGCTTTTCACCACCAGGAACCCCGCGTCACTGCCGACCGGGTCTGTCTGCTGTGGGGGTGGTGAGGTGGGCGCGTCCAGAGGCTGGCGCGCGCCGGACCCCATGGCTCTGGGGGGTCCTTCCTGGTCTCCTGCCTATGGTGGCTCCGGGCTCCTGGCTGTGGCCGCAGCCTCGTCTGTGCCCGTCTCACTGGTCTTCCCGCGCTTGTCTCCTTTTCTCCCTTTTCTCTCTTCCTCCTCCTGGGGGATGACTGGCCTTTGGAGTGAGCCCCCCCCCCCCCCGGGGACCTCACGTCCAGCTCTTCACCCTGATTATATTTGCGACGACTCTCATTCCAAACGAGGTCACGTTCGAGGGTCCTGGTGGCACATCTCTGCCACCTGCTAGTTGTTTCACAAAACACTAAGACTGTCTGCTAAGCAAACTCACCTGTGCCCCGAAAACAAAGTGATGCCCCCCTCTCATGGCCACAGGTGCCCCCGAGCATCTAGAACGGGCTTAGGAGATGCAGCCACCTGCCTGCCCGGAAACAAAGACAAAGCAGTTATCCACACTCGGCTGTCACTGTAACAAACAAAAACGCTGCTTCTTTAAAGCCATGTTTTTTTTAACTTTCCTGTTTAAATACATAGTATTATGTAAGCAAAACGCCTAGGACCAGTCAGTGTAACGG